ATAATATGCCATATGGACATATCAATTTTACTGGAACAAATGTTTTTTTTCTGAAAACATAATAGTCGATAAAGTCATTAAAAAAACCCTGAATAAGAAAAATCCAAGTGACACTTTCCACCCACATATCACACATAAAATTTTTGTAGTTTACATTTTGCTATACCTGACTTCCAGACTTCTCTGGAACAGCAGGTTTTTAAAATGTTTGAATATGAAGAGGATAGTAAAGCAGGAACATTTGAATTCATTCTTTTTACAAGAAGACATGAATACAAACTCTGTCTGTTCATGTTTCTACACAGAAATACAGAAAAAAGGATTTCAGGAAGTCAGTTAGTTCAACCACTTGCATGAGTAACCAACACCTATTCTGTTCTTGAAAACTTTAACAAGGAAAGTCTTTGAACTCCCTGGTTAGTCTAGTCTGCCATGTTTGGGCTTAGTTCTTCAACCAGAGAGCAATTACATAGACCTTTTCAAGTTGCATATTAGTGAAAGAAAGTGGAAGTAACCAAGAAGGAAGAGTCAAACAGTCTCCTATTCTTAGCTCCCTAGACGTCACTAGCAACAATACTAGAGTATATTATTGTATAAAAACCATATTCAACATAACTCTAAATGGTTGCTGTAATCTTCAGCTGTGTCATATATGATTGTTTGCAATCATTTTCATTATATGGAAAAAGTTAGACACATCAAGCTAAAGAGGTACAAAGCTGAACATGAAAATGCATTTCTTCAGTCATAGCTCTTAGATTCTTTAATTAACGATCTGAATTATCAATTTTACAGATTTACAATCTCATGTAGCCACACAATTTCACTGGAAGCTACAATCAAACCACATTTTGGAGCTCTGTAACAAGATGTATATGCCTTACCAGAACTTGTATTGTCCTTCCAGCAGTTTCACCATCAACAACAACAATAACAAAGGACAAACAATTTGAAAATGGTAAAATACACATAGTTAGACATGTCTCAATATACAATCTGTGGACTGGTTGTAATACTTGTGGTATCTAGCACGAAGATCTCTTATGACAAAATTTTAACACACATCACCATAGCAGTTTTCTATAGAACAGCAAGCAGTAGCTGGCAGGTACTAAGATGAGAAGGTTTAAGTTTTTAAGTCATGAAAAATGCATTCATGAAGGAAATGATACATTCCAAATACATTTTCAGCATATTATTACAAAATATTCATATTAGACTGCTCATTATACCCCCATTATACTCCAAAAACATAAATGCAAATTAGCGCCAAATTAATGAAACTTAAAAAGTGGCAAACACTATGTTTTCTGAAATAGCCTGTGTTCTCTGAAGCCCATCTGAGAGGAATAGGTTAGGTGAACCCTTATGTGAATAGAGAACGTAAGCTTTACCATAAAGAGCTGCAGCAGATATGAAGTGTCTGGAGCTTTTTCACAAGTTCAATTATTTGATCCATGCAATGTGAATTCTCTCTGGTAAGAGATAACATTTTGTGCCCTAATTTCTTATTTATGGAGTACAGTCTTTACATATTATTAACCAACAGTAATCCACTTGTCGGCACCTATAGCACATAGATAATTAATGGAAATAGCAAACATCTAACAAAGACAACCAAGAAATTCTTTAAATTAAAAATATAAACATTCCCTTTTTAAGCTGAACAAAATGTTTTCTTCAATCCAAAATGGCTCTTTTGGAGGAACTCTTGCAATTTCCGGAACTACTAAAAATGCTTCCCCTAAGCACTGAAATGAAAAATCCATTTCTCAGAGCAAGATAAAGTAGCTTAAATGCAAGATACACTGCACTGCTGTGATGATAAACAGAAGTGTCTTGTCTTCCTTCTATCCAGGGAAGCATTAAAAGTCTTCAACAGGAAACCGTAAAGTACGAGTAACATAAAGTTTGAGGTATCTGTATGCTTGAGGTATCTATATGTCCTTTCACTCTTAAAAAGAGTGGCAATAAAATACTACACAAAACATTATCAGTCACAGGTAGTCTCTACATAGAGACAGTGGGGCAGACCTTAAGCTATTGTTGAAAAGTACTCAATATAGGGTAACGCAAGGCATCAGCACTCCACAGCACTACACTTTATGAGCTGAGACAAAGGGTAAAGCCCACAACCATGCTGTGGGAGGACATTTATGAAATAAGGGACATGTGAACAATCCAGCCTTTCCAGAGAATCCGAGCTGGGACGTACCGGAACTGCTGAAAGCATAAACAACTTCTGGTGCAGGGGGCATGAGGTGCAGGAGAAGAGACAGCCGCCATTAATGACGCAGTTTTAATTTCTTGAAGAAGATGGGTGTGAACATTTGTGAACATGACTTGAACATGACTCGCAATGTGGCCAATCAGGTTGGACTATGGGCTGTTATTTGCGATGAAGCCAGTAAATATTTATTGGGTGTGGTCGAGGGTTATAAATTGCACTGGAAACACGGAAATAAAGGTTCACTTGTTAGATCACATTGATCATGTCAGTGTCCTCACGCAGCTCCCACACCATGCCATCAGTAAATAAAGACTCCTGGGTTTCCATCCACTTTCTGGTTTTCAATTTCCAACGCTCAGGGGTTCCAGTAACGGAACAACAATTACGTCTTGAAATCTAGACAGACACAACTGCACGAGTCCCAACTATCCACTGTATCATCTTTCCCGCAGCTGGACCTTCCCCATAGCTGCAGAGGGCTCTGTACTGCACACCTTTTCCTTAGGGGGCTTGGCACAGTGCAGCTCACTCCCTGTCTCAGATGCCCCCCTACTGTCAGGGATCCTAGCTCCTAGTCTCATCCTCACAGCATTACATTTTATGTGCTCAGACCCAAATACACCTCAAACCCAAACGTGTCTCACATCCAGAAGCTGCGGATACAAACCTGTGGTGAAGCAACAGGCTTCAGAGAACCTTCAAGGAATCCAAGGAGATAAAGCTCCAGCTGCTGCATTCCCAGTGAGATTCAAGTATGCCCTACATGCAATACAGGTGGCTTCACTCTCTGCCACCGACTATTTCACCTCTCTTGCAGCATCATTCCTGGAGCAGCCCGATGCTGTCTGCCACAAAGTCAATGAGATTTATAGTCAGCCTCCGCTGGACTCGTCCTTAAGCTACATGGATGGTCAGGGCTTGACTCTCAGTACCCTAGATATGTAATACAAATATGTACAGTGTGGTCAACTTTAGTCCACTTCCTGATCTGGCCTCAAGGTAAAATGTATCATTAGTCTCCTCCTATTTTCTTAAATGTCTCATCAAGAGACTGAAACCACCACTGGTGTGAGAAGGGATGGCTTGGCTCTGCTCCATGCCACACTCAGTACAGCAGTGCCACACACACGGTATAGCTGTGGTGCAGCAAGGAGCAGCAGCTGCCACCACCTATAGCACAAGAAGCACAGGGACATCCAGAACTGCAGACTAAATTACTGAGTTATTGCTAGTTTGCACAGACAGAAGTCTTGAAAACATGTACAAACTTTGAAAATTACAACAAAAACGTGAACTATTTTACTGATATTATTTGAAACAAAAATTTAGGTATTAAGAAACAGAAGTGCTTGAAATAGACCACAAGAAAGAATGAAATCACAACCTATCAGAAAAAGCATAAAGTATACTGGCCTGACATACATATACAACCAATCAATATCCAGAATAAGCTAAGAAACTAATAAAGATCAAATATTGTGAAACACCATTCCAAAAGTAAGGAAACTTTAATTCAAGAAAGTAGCTATCATACCATCAGTATATTTGACCTCTCTTTACTAACCTTTTTTCAGTCTTGTCTGAACAATCCTGCCAGTGATCTTTATTCAAACCCACAGGTGGGTGCAGAATAATTATTCAGACACACCCTCCCTATTTAATGAAGGCAGACAAATCATTGCCTGCAATCATCCTAATTGCTGCTCACAACAGCCACTTTAACCCACACTCAATCACAACTCTATTATCCTGTTTGATCACCCAAGTAAGTGCCTATCCTTATCATGACTGAGAGTAAAAGCAGATGAAGAATTCAAGAAACATGGAGTTAGTATTGCTGCACTCCAACATATTAAATAACTTTTCATTTTAAAGGATGAGTACAGCCAAGACATGAGCTTGTCATTAGGAAAATGCAAGCGCTTATTACTAGAAGAAAATGATTGCTCCTATGGATACATTATTATCCATAAGCCATATGATTCTGCCATTGATAAGCTATCCAAATTCACAGTAGTAATTCCTGTTATTTGATGTCCTGAAATGCAAATATATCCTGTAAAAAGGCATGAGTAAAATTCAGAGAGGGTAATAATAATATACATTTAATTCTGAAATACCAAAAGAAAAATTTCTGCCTTTCAGAAGAATTATAAATATATTTGCAATTTACTATGTGACTGAATTACTTTGTGAACAGAAAAACTTAAAGCTTCTTGGACACAGAGTGGGTCTTTATTAGAGTAGAGAACATTTTGCTTAACTTTCCATTGCATCACCTCACCATGATATAGCTTCTATGAAAAACAGCCACTTACAAAAAACCTGCTGAAAAGATATTTCTCCCAGTTTGCAGTAAAAACTCTAAATTTGATCACTGATATCAATAGGCCCTTGATTTCACTTGATGTCCTTAAGGCTTATTAGAAACTTTGAATAATTGAGGGAAAAAAAAAAACAAAAAAAACAAAAAAAAACCCAACAAAAACCAAAACAACAAACAACAAGAAGCAAATTTAGGAACCACAAAAGCTGTATTCCTTATACCGTTTCAAACAGTTAGGGCTAAATCATAAGTTCCTGTATATTTGTTCAGGCACTGCGGGCTAGTTTCAAAAAAACAGACGATGCAGAATTTAAACAGAATTTAGGCACTCAGGTCCTTGTCAATGATCCTGTTAAAGATAAACACCAGGCAGGCCACATCTACCATCAGCACCAGACCCAGGGGCTTTAGAGATACACTGGCTGTTACCAGTGTCGGTGCAGCTCATACAGCTCCCTGACAAACCAGCTGCCAGCCAGGATTTTCAAAGGTGGCGCTTATGGCATATGGTGCCTCTGGAACATTGCAGGTCCCACTAGCAACACTCAGATAGGAAGAAGCCTTAAGAAAAGTAATCAAACCAATATACTAGCAAGAAATGACAGACACGTATCCAGAAAAAAAAAAAAGTTCCAAGCAGCTGACTACTATAACTCATTAGAGTGATTGGAAAGAACTGAAATGACAGCGGGTAGGCTATGTTCTGGGAATCGTACACCTTCAGGATGAAGACAGGAGCAAAAGCATGCCCCAGTGGATTGTGTGCATGGAAAAATTCCACTGTCATGTACAAGCTGTGGTACAAAGCTTCTGTGCCTCACTCTGGGCAAAGGGCAAAAACAAACCATAAAAGCATGCAAATAAATTCACATGAAGTATTATGCAGAGAGAGAGATTGCTTGTGGAGTACAACAGTGTTCCCAAGGACAGGAAGGGAATTGCAACCTAGTTCTTAAATTGTACTATGTCAACAAATGGCTGGCATAACTTTTATAGCTCAATTCAGTCCTACCTTATTGAAATTATTAATAGAAGAGCCCAGAAGACCGTGATAAATCAGTACTGTCTCTTGGATCTTTCATCTATTCTTCAGCGAGTTAAAGTTGTGAAATAAAGTAACTGACACCTGATAATATTCTCATTTAAAAACTTATTTAGTCCAGTCTCAGTTATAGCCATAAACTATTCTTGCGAAGAGTTTTTCCATTCAGATCAATATTAATTGAATAAACAGATCAAGAGTATTAAAAGAAACTAAAATCATTAAATTCACTCCTGTCATTTAACCCTAGTACAACACCTCATACCTTTAAATCTTTTGTATTTCTTCCTTTCTGCTTCCCTCCTTGTCTTTTCCAACTCGTGCAGACACTGTTCTGCAGCAAATTATACGACACTTTCCCTTTCTGCCATATTTAAATAGCTGCTTCCTGACTTTCTCAAGCAAGTGGAATGGGTTATGCATTCTTCTTTTCCTATTAGTCTGCTTTATGTAATCCTAAAACCATAATTATTTCTGAAATAGAAAAGATAATCATAATTTTGTTTAAAGAGTCCAAGAATTTAAGACCATTTGACTTAAAATCATGTAAGTTTTACTCCTGCAAGACATAGAATTCCTGTAAAGCGTTCTCGCAACAAATACACAGTGATCTTTTGGACCAATATGTGTTGCTATACATCACATCTGCATCCTCCCATGCACTCTGGCTGCTACAGGTTAGAATCACAGAATCATAGAATTATTTAGATTGGTAAAGACCTTTAATATCATCAAGTCCAACCATTAAAGGTTGATGCCTTCCCTTATTAAACTTTCAGCCATTTAACAGCAAACCTGATCCACCCTAGAACAGATATCACAATAGACATCTGCTACAAGAAGGTATCAAAGACTAACATTCAAAGCTAACCAGAGCTAAAGAAATCTCACACAGCTAACCCACGTGTAAAGCAGCACCAGAGAGGTTCAAGAATTATGACATTCAACATTCTGCATTCAACAGAAACTGAAGCTAAATTTTTAGTAAAAATATCAATATCTTTATCTGGTATAGGGACTGAAAAAGCCACTTGAATTCACAGGAAATTAAATAAATCAGCTGTAAATTCCACCTACCCCCCAATAAACAAAGATAAAATATCAAAAAGTACAGTATCTGTGAAATGAAAAATGCATGGTCCCTACACTTCATTACCCTAACGACAATAGGATAAGACAAAGAAAACAGCCTCATTAGAACAGCTTCGGACTGGGTTAACTAGTATGACTTACAGAACAGAAAGGAATTTCAGCTTCCCCAAAAAGAAACAAATAGCTGTATCATACAATTATCCTCTCAATGTGCTTGATGAATCATCTTGAGGTATCTTTAGATAAGAACAGTATGTCTACAGAAAATGTTTCCAGAAGAAAAGCATATTAACACTGTGTACCCATATTAATAGTATCCGAGTCTCCACTGTTTTATCATTTAACAGCCAGACATAAGAAGTGCCAAATTCATTCTTTAAATCTAATTGTTATTTTTAAAACACAATCAAACTGTATTGCTTTTCAAAAATTCACAGATGAATTGGCTTATAAGCATGCCAGACAACCAGATTTTTGCATTTACCAAGCAGTCTTAGCCTTCCAATTTAGCAATGAAGTCATTTTTACACTTGTAACTTGGTGCTCTTACACAGATCAAATGTAGTGGTGTGAACACTCTACTTTAAAATGATACTAACAGATTACTTACATTTTAATCAATTATTATTTAAATTTATGTATTCTACAGGAATATAATTACATTTTAAAACTCTGGTCTAGGAAGTAACATTACGAACAACTCCTGTTGCTAGCATAGGAAGGATTATGTCTCTTCTGTACTAGCGGCAGTTCAGAATAGGTATAAAATAACCTAAACATGCTGTACATTGTATTTGTAATACAGCATTTTCCGCAGACTGAATGATATAATAGAACTCGTACGCTTTCTGGAGATCCATCCATATTTAGCTTTTGCTTAGATTTCTGTAGAAAACTGCTCCTTTCAACCTTTTAAAGTGCATGTTGAGAAATATAGGTTAAACTCTAATTTACACTAATTATGGGTGAAATTCTAATATACATTAAAACAGGCTTTGAGATAGACATTAAAAAAAGGAAAAAAGTCTGGTTACCTACATTGTTTATGTATTCAGAAAGCAGGTCTTGGAGAGCTTGGCGGATAGCATTGCACTCAGCAATGATGCGTTCTCGATGAAAGTCACGCGTGCAAGAAGAATCAGCCAGCAAAGCTGCTCCACTGATAATAGCTTCCAGGCGTTTCTCTAGTGACGGCCTTATTTTATCTTCATTCACTACCAGAGGATCCAGGACAATTAAATTCTGGAAAACATTAGCAGTACAGGTAAGAAAAGTCAGCCCAATTAAGTTGCTGCTTTATTTTTTATGTGCGTGAACTACAGTGACATCATGCTTCCTAGGCTCACAGCTAGCCCTTTCCCCTTAAGTATCCAAAATACTTTTGACCATGGCAGATTCCGTTTTCACTACTGGGTCTATGTATACAGGTCAGACAAATACATTGTCTATTGCAGACAAAGCCAAGTTCACTCCGCCATTCAGATCTCGCTAGTTCTAAGCCAACATTCATGTTATCAAATCCTACTGGCCCGGACCCTGGGCTAAGACAGCAACAGAGCTTTCTAGCTGGGAGCTGGTTCACACCTAAGCAGCTTGCAGAACAAGTAGAACAAGATCACCTCTACTTGCAGGCCATGCTGACATCTGACTACAACTGCCTCATGTCTGAGTCCTTCCTCCGTTTCCTACTTTTGCTGCATGAGTTTCAAGATTCTCATCCTCAGCTTCAGTCTCTCCTACACCTGTATCTGGTATTTCTTCTTCTGCAAGGCATTTCACTTCTCCTGGAAACAGAAACGCTATTTGTCTACCTTTATAAATATGCACGCATTCTTATCACTGCAGTATCTGTTTGGTCTGTCAATCTTCACAACATTCTAATCTACACTGAAAAGCTGTCAACCCCATTTTATAAGCAAAGAACTGGGACCCAGACTGCCAGGTTCAGAGTCATGCAGAAGGTATGTCTTAAAACAGGCAACTGCATGCCATCTTCCCAAGTTCTCAGGCAGCATTGTTTCTCCTCTTCAAGTTTTATCACTGCAGTTGTAAAAAAAAAGCATTTCTTCTTTCAATCTCTTTCATGTCTGTCTACACTTCTCGAAGGCCATCTGTCTTCCTTATCCTCCCATACATGAAAAAGAGGGATTATGGGTATCCAGAAACCTGGTTATATTTCCAGACATTTTGGACTGATTTACAGTATTTTGATGTCTCGTATGTAATTGCTCTGCTAGATAGCCACAGTCCTTAAAGGACCACCTATCAGATAAATACACTGACAGAGTCAGGCATGCAAGACCTGTATCATTTTGTGAGAAATCTCTTCACATTCAGAAGATGCAAGATGAATGAAAGGCATTAGATAACCTGCACCTACATGCTCTTTTACACAGATCTTCATATGCAATTAAATTTGGAATGTTACAATTTTGTGTCTATTTATGAATGACACGGTAGTTATATGGAGCCATTAAAAGGAATTCTTGAGGATCTACTGATTTAAGAGTTGGATGCTCTAGTTTTACTGGTGGTTTCCTCACCTATAAATCTGTAATAACTTTCACACTGCCAGCACTGGAAAAGGAAGAATGACATTGCAAAACATCTAGATACTAGATTGTTGGGTAAGCTCCATGATACATTTCCACACTATAAACACTTAATGAGATTTGATCCCAACAGACTATTTACTACATCAATCTATTTCATGGCACTGTATTTGCAACAAGAAGATAGAGCAAAGGTTATTTCAGGTCCTTAGCAAATAGAACTTCCTGTAAAGAAAGAAAAGTGCAACCATCTAACTCATAAAATAATTTTAAGAAGTTAAATGCTCTATAAATTGTGCTTTATCTAACTCACACAGCTTCAATTCCCATTTCTGTTACCTAGGCAAAAATACATTTAAAACTCTAGGAATGAATGGCTTTTTACTACAAGTCAGAATTCTATGTTCTTATGTTTCTGAATAAAACCAAATTCAATCCAAAAGACATTTTCAAGCATTTTTTGATTATCACAAATTTGAATTTTAAAACAATAATAAATTTAATTACACAAAACCAAAAAATCATTACAGTGGTGCAGCTCACATACAGTCATGATGAATTCATCTGCGCTTAGAAGATGCAACCCTTTTGCCAAATTTTGTTTAAAAAATTTGTGAGTAAAACAGGTAAATAATAGCTCTCATATAAAGTATATCATTTGACATTCAGAGTTTCACTGTAATAAATCATGTATTACTCTTAAATGTTTCATTTTTCTTTCATTTCCATAAGAAAATAGATTAGAAACTATAATTTTAAAACCCGGTGTGAGAAGCAAGGAAGGATGACACGTAACATGCAATTGTAGCCTGTTCCTTCAGGAGGAAAAACCCATCAGACTCAACTTTGAGCATGACTGAGAGGTCTGTTTTGATCAATAAACCGCCACTACAACATTTGTGTCTTATTTCATATTTCTCTAACATTTCAGTGAAAATTTTAGACAAAAATCTATTACCATCAGTCATAACACCAATTGTCCTGAAAATGTATCAACAATATTAGAGTTCCAAAGGCTGAAATCCACTAAGTCTGAGAATTTACAACCAAAAAGACTCATATTTGCAAATGCGTTTTGAAAATTCCATTCTTTTTGATGATCTGGGCCTACATCAGTTACCCCAGATGAGGCACATGGTCTGTAATCTCATCTACAGGACATCTTTTAGTATTTTTGGCAGCACGATGGAAAATAACACTGGTAAGCGCCAGAGCAGCCATGAGAAAAAGGGAAAGCTCCATACAAAAGCCTAGGATCAGGTCAGGAGCAGAGAAAGAACTAACTTTCTCCAAGTATTTGCTTAAATAATGGAAGAAGAAATGCACAGTTTGTGAAAGTATATTGGTTATGTCACTTTTTTAATGATAAGCAGAAAACAATTAGGTTTCAAAATCCTTCAATTATATAAATTGCATAATGATCCCAATGACAAGTTTTCGAGTAAAGGACTTCAACTTGCATTGTACTAGTTCAGATGCAGTCAAGGTAGCAGTGATCACCATCACCTTACAATCACTGTTATTTGTAAACTAAACTAATGGGTTCTGTCCACTTCGTCAAGGATATGTCTTTCTCCACCACTAGTGACAAACTTGGAACTAATTCTTCCCCCCTGTTAGAAGGAGGCCAAATATTGAACATGTACAAACACAAACTCTTTTGATGGAAGCAATCCCTCCCAAGGAAATAATTTAGAGTGATACTATTTAGACTAGGACTAAGCAGAGCATCAGTTACTAATGCCTATCATTTATGATGGCAATAGTTAAGCTTAAAAAAAAAAAAAAAAAGAGAAACCAACCATTTTTCCAAAAATCTTTTGGTCTTACAGGTTTACATACCTCAAGCTCATCAAGCGCACTTCCAAGAGTAGCTGTGTGAGATGCAGGTTGTCCCATTTTATTTCCAACTCCTTGGGAAGCGTTAGAAATTACATTGAGAGCATTCTGCATTTCATTGCAAATTGAATCCTTGCTGGTTTTCAGGGATGCAACATCTGAATGTTCCAAACAAGCTGAACATACTGAATGTAGGAGAGAGGAATTTTCCTTCAAGGATGCACGTGCTGCAGCAATTTCATCTCGCTGATTGCTAGATTTCAAATCCTGTCAGCAAAAGAATATGCTGGTTATTTCCAAAAGCACTTCAAAACTTCAAAATTTACAAGTAATGTATAAACAAATTTTTTCCTACTTCTACTCTGTTTAAGGAAGCATCAAGCTACTTCATCAAAGATTGTAAAAGAACAGACTACAACAGTAATTACAATTGAATTATCTTTATCTCATGAGAAATGATCAATATCTGCGTAAAACAACTCCAATTTTTATTGTGTCTTATGACCAGCACCATGAACTGCCCACATTTTGCTTGTTTTTAAGCACAGTTTTCCTATGAGAAAACTGGCCTGGAAATTAGCTGTCTTTCCTCCCAGACAGGTCTTTCTTCAAAAGCAATAGAGAAGGACAGAGGCGCAGACAGGGTTAAGCAAGGAATTCTGTGATTGTTGCATCTGTGTTTGCTTCCCTGCCCTACCAGCACGTGTCCCTAAGCACACTGCAGAAAGGAACAGCAGGTCAAGGATGAGAATCCTGTACACCTGGGAAATGGAGAGCTTGGAAGGGATGGAAATCAAAAAGGCACTTGAGAGAGGCCATCTCTGTGAAGTGCCACTGCCTGCTTCTCCTCTCCCAGCTATGTACACACTTAAAGCCCACAGGGATCTTACTATACTCATCTTGGTCCTCCCTTCTCCACTCAGATCATCTTGAAACCCTACTGCCTCCTGCCAGCCCAGACAACATGGAACACACAGCTTGACAGAGCTGACAAATCAGATTTAACTGTTTCTAGGAATCAAGCTTGGGAGCTGTTAATTGGACAGCTGAAAGTTACGGACCTTGGGACAATCATACAGCCAGTATCAGGATTGTAAGGAGTCTCCTGTCTCATCCTATTTTACTCTAGACATTTTCCCCACTCTCCTTCTGCACCTTGTCCCTTTGAAAAAAAAAAAACAAAAAACAAAACAAAAAAAAAAAAAAAACCCAACAAAAAAAATCAAACCAGAACCTCACAGATATTTGCAGAATGGCTTGGGTGAAGGAGACAGTTAAACTTAAGAGAAAAATAAAAAAGGAAGGGAAAACAGCACATCAGAACAATAAAAGCCTGTGGCACCAGCTTCAAATGATGAGAAGAGGCACAATGAAGAGTGAACAACAAAATGCATACAAAACTGCTCGCAGCCTGCTCTAAAGCAAGCTGAAGTCTTTCTAATTATTTTCCTTTGCACTGCACCAGGCTCTATATGCATTATTTACAAAAGCATCACAGTATCCACTTCTTGCTGCATAAAGTTTCTAAGTTTATGGCTGAAGAAAAAAGCATTCAATATTAAATGAACCAGTCCTACGTTTTTAAAACCTCATTTACTGCAAGATACACATTGGACATAGCATTGTATCTTACTTCCTCAGGCTAACTTGGAAATCTCAGGAATACAGTAAAAAACACAAACAAAAACCCAGAAGAACCCACTGCAAACAAGAGAGAGAGAAAGAAGTGGAGCCTTAAACTGAAGCAGGCAATGGTTTAACTAGCTGACCATCTGAATTATAAAACGGAGTTATTTTCTTGGGCATATTAATACTTAATATATTTTTACATTTTCAATAAACGAATATGTAAATGCAACACCACTGTGCAGGAATTACTTCATTGCCCAGTGTGCTCAAATTCAAATACTAGCACAACTCCAATCTCAGTAAATCATCTGCAATTTATCCAGTGGACTCTCAGCAAAAAGCATTATTTATTTTTAAACACAGACTCTTGTTCTTATTAGTGAATTACCTTTCCTACAATTAAATTACAAGACAACACAATGTCCTCTTTTCTTGTGTGCTGCAAGGAAGCTACAGACCTAGAGGTACAATGGTTAAGTCAATACAACACTTCAGTGTAGCTGCCTTCTATTCTTTTGCATCATATGCAAACAATCAAACTCAAAAGTCCTTCCAAATGGCTTTTTCCCTCTAAAACAGTACTGTCTAACCAGGAATGAGAGATTCATAAGAAATCCAAAACCGGCAAGCCAGTAGCACAAAGTCAGTAATGGCAAGTCAATAATATGGCATCTGGAAACATATCCAGAAACAGTGCAAAAAATTCAACATGTCAATGTTTGTAAAACATAGAATGTTTTGTTTCACACAATATTGTGTAGAGTTTCAGAATCATGGTAGTGATAAATTCACCTATGAAAAGCTCACTTTTGTTCAGTAACACTTTAAAAAAAAAAATTAATGCTTAGACACATGAAATTCATCACATTTGTTGTTCACTTGTGAGCCTTGGACAGCCCCAAAAGAAGCTGCAGGGCCATTGTTATTTTCGATCTTGATGAAGAATTCCTCAAGATTTTTCATGTGAACGGGAAGAGACAGTTGATAATCTTAGTCTGGTCTTCTGCACAAACAGGCGAAAAAAACCCTAAAATGATTTCTCTATCAAATCTATGTGGATTATCAGAATAATGTAACTAGTTCTCTGAAAAAGGAAGTTAGTCTCTACAAACAGGTTGTTAACCCATAAACTTTTTCCACTGGAAACCAAAAAATATAGAAACCATCCAACTCCTTTTTTACTTATCAAAGAGAATACACCACAGGAAACACAAGAAAGCAACACTGAGAAAGCATACAGTTTCTTTCAAGTTATCCTGTGATAGAACATATCACTTGAGAACTACAGTGTTAACATTCTCCTATGAACTATCAAACCATCACAATTCTAAACAAGTTGATGGGCACTGTGCTAAATTCAAATGACTTGCACACTTTTAGACAAGTTTCCAAACTAAGACTATGGACTTTTAAAGGTCTGAGCATTCAGTGTGTCAAATCTGGCTGCACTGAAAGTTGGATTCGAACAGGTACTCGGTACATACTGACGCTTGCCCAAATATACTACATTAACTTTGGCACAAGACAACACATTACTCAAGGGTGCAAAAGAATCATACAGGGAAAAGTATGGACATATAGGATCAAAATATCTGGAAAACATAGCACCAGAACAAGAGGAATAGGAGAACATAAACTATGACTATGTTTTTTGTTACTCAGAGATTGTTGTAAGTATGGATGGATAGTCTTCCACCTGGCACAGAGGCACAAGACAAACAGGAGTAAAGAGTCCAAACCAGTTCTTCCTACCACTCTCTTCATACCATAACATCCGATTATCTGCAGTTCATCCAGCTACATTACTGAGATTTAGTCTATTTTTCTTTTACTTCACAGCTTACCACTTTCTTCTTATTCCAACTTTTTAAACTAGTGGATTATTTCCGCTGGTCTGGGATGGATTCTTCCACATCAAGTGAGCAACTGAGCTCTAGATCTGTCATATGAGACCAGTTGAGATCAAAGATAATCCTGTCTCTAACCATTACCAATCTAAGAGGCCCAGTATAGTGATACTTCCCCAGGCTGCTATCCCAGCCCTCCCGGGATGTACAATTATATCTTCCTCATACCTGGTTGTCCATGATAAGAATGGAAATGAATGGATAGTCACAGATTCCCAGATGTGGATTGTTCCAGCCAAACATGGTGAATGGACGAGAAGACTTTGAATGGAAAACTTGAAAACTACCTTCAACAGTTAAGTTAAGTTTTGGTTGCACCACTTCAATAAGAAGAAAAAAAAAAAAAAAAAAAAAAAAAAAAGGTCTGTTCTTTATAACACTTAATACATTTAAGGTTTGACAGCACAATAAACCAGGAAGTCAGCTCTTGTTCACTGAGTATTCTTCTCAGCAGAACTGATGGGATCCAGGCCTCACTGCGGGTATAAATCATGCTGCCATATTTTGCACTGGCTGCAGTCAACACAAAGTTCACAAAGGCAGCTTCAAAGTGCACTGCAGACCCCTATCTCACTCTTTGCAGAGACAGACATCACTGAACTGAGTTCTATATCCAAGAACAGCACACACACACAAATGCCCACCATTTCATACTACTATAGGGCTGGGGAACAAAAGCGTCACTTTTCATCACAGCTTAAACCTGGGCTTTAGTGTTCAGCTTTCAGTCAAAAGTGACTGCCAAATCGCATGTATTTGATGAATCAAAGACAATCACAAAGCTCAAACTCTTCCGAGCGCACTCACTGACTATCTGGGTAAGGCTCCACTTCATGTATTTCATAAGTACTGTGTAATCACTGGAAGAAAATATCTCATAGACAAGAAAGTGAGAAAGATCTGGGGTTGATACTGACTGCCACACTGCTTTTCAGATGTTCTTCCAAGACAATACTACTTTCACACCGGTTTTAAAGGCTTATACCTGTCAGGGCCTTGAGAGCACTACTAGGCCTCAAAAGCCCTGCTGACCCTCAGCTGGGGCCCCATCCACACCTCACCCTTGGGCCACAGAGCCCTGGTTCAGCTCACTCTGGGACCTTCAGTCCCTGTCTGAGCTATGTCGTAGGAGTGCCGGTCTCCAGCACAGCCACAGCTGCCCCCCCTTACCTTGCCATGCCACCTTACCCCATCGATCCAAACCTCAGCCCACAGACTGACCTCCTGAGCTCAGTCCCGCCCTGTCACCATGGTGCTTCTGAGATATCACTGAGTTATCTCTCACCTGGTTATGCTCACTGGGCCTGACCCTCAACCTGATCCATGGACTGACTTCCCAGTTTGTCCTCTGACCTGCCTCATCACCACAAACTTTCCTGATGATCTGGACTCTTGGTTGAACCCAGTTACCACCACCTCGCCCACCCTGATGCAGGGCAGTGGGACAGGGCCCTGGCTGGTGAGGCACCTGCCTCAGAGAACAGCCAGCCCTCACTGCACCCACAATACCTTTTTCTAAACAGATAAGCATTTACCATTAGCAGAGATCACCTGTTATAAACTCTATCATAAAGCTGACCCTGCCAAAATGCTAAGTTTACAGAAGCTGAACAACATAACCTAATGGCCCCTTTCCTCAATATTAGGCTTTAACTATACATCTGAACTACACAAGCAACTGCAACCACACAAGACAGACACAAACATGCACTGGGAAAAACACCTGACAGGATAATGGCTTTATTAGCACAAACTAAACATACCTAGATCATACAGCTGTACCACACTGACCACAGAAGGTCACCTTACACACACTCACAGCAAGTTACACACCACTGAGAAGATATGCCAGTAAATTCAGCATGCCACTGAATCAAAGGAATTTGTTTAAACACGCTGTCCTGGGTTACAGTGTAAAATGTG